ATCGGATGTAGAAGGCGATCTGCAGTTCTCATCCCGTGCCCCGTTTCATGGCAGTGTGTGCAATCTCTTCGACGTTCGAATCTGGTGCGTGCTTATTGACATTCACAAGTTTACGATGGATCTTATGACGATCCCTGTGAAGGATCAAATTACTACACGTGAATGGGCGTTAAGAGGCCGGTACTCCAACGAGTTTTTTCGCCATTACTTCTTAGCCTTTGTCTCTATTCTCTGGATGATTGATCCACCATCCTATTCTAAATCAACATATTGTCACCAGCAGAGCGAAGTTTTCGTGCAGAGCATTGTAAACATGTAATCGTCGCAGAGGCTAAACCATCTGCTTGAGATATTTTTGAGTGCATTTTGTCGAATTGTAGACTTGTACAAATCCCAGTAAATCTTGAAAATAAGCAATTTTGTCATGACATAGCCACTTAAATTGTCTTCAATACACATGACATCGCATTTTGCCATCCATTTAGCCAAATCTTATTGAAAAATTTGTGATAAAAACTCAGATGTGTTTATCGAACCAACAGTTTCGAATAAACGATAGCAAATCATTTCTTAGATCAATAGAAAACATAAAATATACATGAACGAAGGCACTAATCAAACTGGGCAGATCTTGTACCACGGAATTCGATGATCGCACCATCCACAGCGGGCAGCTGTTGAATTGTCGATAAATCCTATGTGAATAAGTGCTTTAAGTTTTCTTATATCTTCGTCTTTTCTGTACGAAATTTCTCTGCCGCAAACGATGTACGATTTGGTCTGTAAACCATGAAGAGAAATATGGGCACACAGTGAACAATAAGCACTGTAATCAAATTTGAGTCTCAATTATAAAAGTGCACTATTCACCATGCTAATTTGAGCTTGTTTAATCACGGATAGTTGTGAATCTTATGCTTGTAAAATGAACTTTAACAGTTTAGAGTGGCGTCATCTTAATAGCGGCGCTATCTGAATTAAAGCGAGCACGATGTGAAAGAAGGTAACGATGATCCCTCGTATTTAAATTTACGCATTTTTGCAGTCCTTAAAATAAATTTAAATTTAGGTCTGTCTGCCTATATAGTCCAATTCGCTTTTCTGCATAGATGTGGAACAACGTTGTGGCAACATATCATTTAGAAACTTTATGCACAGATGTTGATCCTATCAAATTGATAGGATCAACATCTGTGCAGGATGGTGTGAGCTACATACACCATGTCTATCCATGATGAACGATGCAGGAATCATTCATTTTTCATTTCTTTCGGTCATTCTTGCAACTCATTCCAAGAAAAGTTTTCATCTCGATCACTATGCGCGTATCAGATATCTCCTACCTGTTGCATCTTCTTGCTGCTATGGTTCTTCTCGTCGACGTCTTGGTAGCACTCTCCACCTCACTACAACCTATTCAGAGCAATAAACGGGATGGTACCGATCGCCAACTAAAGGCACAAGATTCTCAAGCACCAAAAGAAGTGATTAGTGACGAAGAGAGGGTGGCGTTTTATAGACCTCAGTCTCCAATCAGCCTCCCAAACCTCCAACTCAGCTTGTCGAGCACACCAATGAAAAGGAATACCGAGTTGTCACATCTCTCGAAGAATCCTAGCAAGCAACTACCGACTTCTTCACCAAATCCCTCGCAGTTCCAATCCAATATGTTGATACGTCTTCGAAATTTATCGAAAAATTACATTCCGAACTCGATCAGAAATCAGCGGAAATTTTTTTGGCTAAATTTAGAGCTAAAATGCGTTCGGTGAGACGGACTCATACTAAGTTGCCCGCTCCAGCCAAAAAACCTTCGTCGAAGCGTAATGTCCGCAAGCTGCCGCCATCAGGCAAAAAATCATCGTTGAAAGCCAACATTCCCAGAACAACCACTCCAGTCAACGCTGCCTTGGCGGACCCCTATCTTCAACTGGCCATTCGCACCTCTGCATCGCTAAAAAAACAAATAAAGAGCGGAATTGAAATGGATGTGGCGGTTGGGGGATCTCACACCAAGAATTTGGTCCAACATGGGTTCAATCGCCACGAGGTGGAAGTCATATTGCGTACAGCTAGACTCGATCATGCGAAAGTACAAGACCTTTTGAAACAATACGATACGGCCGTGAAAAAAACTTCCATAACTGCCATATTGGATGATGTGACTGAATTCAACAACCGCCAATCTCTTTCTCCTGATTTTCTCACCAAAGTTGAAGCCCGCGCCGCCAAAGTTATTGTAAACAGAGTAATTGACGATCCACAACGACTTCATCTCAATTCGGAAATGCCATTTTATGACGAGTGGAAGTATCTAGTAACAAAGTGGATCAACCATCTCTACACCCGGGAGCAAGTGGGCCAAATCCTCAAAGGAGCTGAACTACGACCGACAGTAGTGGAGAAGATACTGGACATCTATGACAAGCGCAAAATTGAGCTAAGTAGTCGCCTTGCTGCATTCAACGACCTTCACTAGTCAAACGCCATCGATACACTGTAATAAAAAAATCCCTGATCAAATTGCTGGTTTGGCTTTACTCCAGATGATTCACATCTCATCGCAGCTAAGTGACATCGTTTATTTCACCAACTTGACGATTTTCAATCCTGCTCATGACTACTAGGTAGTTTCTACTTTTCGTTCTGTTCTTCTAGGTGATGAAGAATTCTCAGGTGTCATGACATATGATGACACTTTGTTTCAAACGCTAATCGAGTAAGCAGAATATGATAACTTGGTCTAAAGTTTGCTACCAAATTAAGCTTTTGTTCAGATCTCTGCACTAGTACAGCTGGTCAGAATACAAACGATAACAGTGTCTGTATTTTTGTAAAATATCCCCGTAACATGTAATGCTTGCAACTGATAACAATTTATAGCAGAAAACACTTATTGTGGATCAATGTCTAAACGCAATTACTGTTGGCCCCAAGGCGTTCACAAGCAACCAAAATGCGCTTGTAATACATTCACGTTGATGGAAAAACCGTCCTGCTTCCAAAGAAAGATAGGTAAGGAAATAGATTGGCTTGTTCAAATCAAAACTCTTCCTTAGTTTGAAATTAACGCATGTGCCATACTTAAAATAAAGCTGAGTGAAAATGAAATATTGCGGTCCAGTGATTATCTCAGTTCAAAGTTCGTCTCAATTGTATCAGCTAATTTTTTTGTTGCCATCCGTATTCTTGCCGCTGCTAATCACGTTGTTACGGTTGCTAGCCGGAAGCATCGATGATAAAAGTGTTGTGGTAGCGTCTTCTTTTGACAGTTGTGCTGGTCGGGTGTGGGTTCGTCGCTCTACCTCCACCAGACACCATCACTTATCCCTCACTGCCCCTTACAGGACCATCAGTCTAGCTCTGCTCTGGTGCAGCAGTTCGCAGAGTAGAGTCGGGCGTCTGGAAGGCGAGAATGGCTTGGGAAAGAGTAAGTCTGGGAGAAGGCGGGCTGCCAGTGTGCCATCATGATGTGCCGGGGTTGCTTGTGTGGGAACCGGAAATTCTAAAGTGACGCGTAGATGAGAGAGCCACTCTCATAACGTGTCCTCTTTTTGCCGCGATGCAATATTGAGAAATTTAGACTTATGAAGGTTTCCGCACATTAATGATACCTGAAAAGCGTTTGACAAACTCACCGAAGGCCGGATGAGTCTTCAGCTTTTGTAACACGTTCAACCGCGTCCTCTGCGAGTAGACATCGTTAAAGGTACCGAATGAAAGCGAAAAGTCGTGAAGACCACCAAGTTCGCTGCGAGCGCCAGTGTGGGTTGTCGTCCGCCAAATAGATACCAAGTGCCCTATACCACCCGACCCAAGTCACTCACCACTACATCGACGTCAGACTACAATTGAGCAAGTAGCCATGGCGAAGAGGAAAGATTGTGAAAAAGTCTAGCGCGTCGCATTGCTCAATGCGGAAAGAACCATGTTTGTCAACTCAGCGCTCGCTGTCGTCCGATTCCACAATCTTGCGTAATCGCCGCACACATGAACAGCGTAGCAGTGCGAGATGCTGCCGCTTGAAGTGTCCGTCCAGAAATAAGATTGAGACGATGAATCCGCCACCACGGCACCGTTCGTATACGTAGTCATTCGGAGTAAGCGGTTCATGCGACTCGTTGCGGTCGTGCTTGTCATTCAGCACGAGGCTACTAAGCATCGACTGCCATTGCTATAAGACCGGTGCCGGAATCGAAACGGGCTGCGCGTAGTGCACCAGACGGGAAAGTACCATCGTCTGTGCTTCCACAAGTCACCCGCGGAGTGTGCGTGCGCGCCAACACCACGCATTTAAGCCGTCGTAGAAGTGTTGGCCATCAAACTCAATGATCGTATTGATGACCGAAGCCTGTTCGAATGCGCTACCGAGATACTCTGTGCGTTCGAGAACTTCAACGCCAGTAAGTCTTGGTTTCAATTAAGCGCTCCGAGCACCCACATAGACAAGTTGGGCTTCGCGCTTGAGCCACTGCAGTAGTCTTCCATGATATCAAGTTGCGCCTAATGGTTCAAAATAGAGCCCGCAAGCAGTATCGAGTCATCTGTAAATAACACGCTTGTGGATGTGTGGTCTGCGTTCTGACACATAATGTACTCTCAGCAGGTTGTTGAGAGACTTGATGTTCATAGCGCAGACAATGAATCGCCTTGCTTCACGCCTCGCGTCGGATGCAGCGCAGACAGGGACTCGGTTGATCAGTAGACGCGCGTGTACGACAGCTGAATCCGTTGGATAAACGCTGTGCCGAATCCCATTATGTCAAGCAGCAGAAAAATGCAGTGCTAGTTGACTCCATAGAACGCTTTCTGGAAGTCCAAGATCATGGTGTACGCCTTTTCGTCGCGAGCTGTCACGAGGTCCTGCATATCAGCGAGGAACCGCTCATGGTGGTGAATCGAATGTCTTTTGACGAGTCCTTTTTTGTCTGCTTGGATCAAGCCGGCGATGACCTGCTGCAGATGAAATATCACTGCATTCGACCACACCTTCACATCGACCTGCATGAGTGCGATCAAGCGGTTGTTGCCTGATTAAGCTCTCGATTCCTACTGTGCAGAAGCACCACGGCGGGCTTGCGTTGAGATGGAAGCAAAACCCCACGGCGAAGTTGATCGTTGAACACGGTTCTAAAGCACACGCCAAACACACTAGGAGGGCCTAAGGGAAATCAGCGGTCAACCCGTCAATGACAGGCGAGAATGTCGCTTTTATGTGCCAAATCGCATGCGCAAGGTCGGCAGCTGTGATTGGTGCGTCAAGCATCGCGCGATCAACTTCCGAGACAAAGCGGACGATCGAGTCGAGATGCTTACGCTCAATGGCTATGTCAGGTGGATGAGATCCGCCTGCTGGACTGTTGGGATCTCACATCTCTGATCTCCAGTGCTCAGTGAGCTCGAGGATTCGTCAAGGCACTACCACTTAGTGTCACGACTTTCTTGATCGAGACTCGATGCAAACTCGTGTCCAGCAGACAGAGAAAGTAGCTCGTGGACTTCACGGTGTTGGCCGTTTTGAAGTCGAACGCGGTATCTTGGCTACACTGACTCATCCGCGTGATAATTTTTATGCCGTTTTTCATAGCTCTATCAGAGAGCTCGCGATTTGAGTCTCTACCTGCTGTATGATATCGGGCAGCATCTTGGTCGAGTGCGATGCAGGCGTCCTCGTCAGCTTGCGTGTCTTGCATCCTTCTTTCGCACATCTTGCAGCTGAATCTTGATGCTTAACTCCCATTTCTCCCAAACCTTGCCGGGGTTCCCAGCGTCACGCAGTTGATCGCGAATCAACTTGTCTTCTTTCTTGATCGCAGACGCAACTTCTATGTAGTCGTGAAGGTCTCGCGGAAACTTTCAGTAACCTCTACTGTGCAGCTGTTTCCCTGACCGAAAGATTACGCAGTGAGAGATGTGAACGCCTGCGTACTTCGGTAGGAATACATTAAGTCGTCGAAAAAGCATTTTCGGAGAACGACTCGGGTTGCAGGATGTAGTCCAGCCGCATTTTTTCGAGGAGGCGGACCGGTGAGCACATGTTTCGTGTCGAAGTGAACCCACCATGCATCGACGACACCCAGCTTCGCTAGCCACTCGAGACAGCTGGATCGACTCGGTCAAAACCTCAAGCGAGGATGCGGAGGTCGAGAGGAGTGTTGAGGTCGTCCAACACGAAGTGGGTCGCTTGATCCTCGAACCTTCAGTCTCATAATTCTAGAAGATGTGTTGTTTTTTCCTGTCAATCCATAGGCGCATACACGTTGTGAATGTAGTTGTAAGCACTCTCGACCACCACCTTCACGACAAGGTAGAGATCTGCGAGCGACTAGCTGTGGGTTTTTAATCGCCGAGTTGAAGCCAGGAATGTCAGAGCAATTCATTGTGAAAACTCCACCGCTCCGACCTCTCGTGGGTCGATCGTACAGCAAGTTGGGGTAGTTCTCGAAGTCCTTGTGCTTAAACTCGAGTCTATGTGTAGCCTAAACGTTGAGAGGTGCATGCTGTCTGAGAGTTTAGTTTCTTGGACAAAAGACACCGAGTACTTGAAGAGCAAGCTCTGAGAAAATAAGTGGTCGCTCTTCTTGATGCCATTGATGTTCACGGTGAAAATACCAACGTTGCCTCATGTCATGGCGGGCAGTGCGGATGGTTTAGCAGCGAGTTCTCAAGCCGTCCGCGACCATCACCCCGCTGTCATCCATGTTCTGGAGCTGAAGCACCGACGGGTCATCAGGGTAGCGCCCATCGAGCTTGCGCAGCGCTTCGAGATCGTTAAGCAAGTGATCCTGATACTGCGCCTCACTCCATTGCTGCATGCAGTACTTACCAAAGCAGGCGAAAAAGCGTCTTGGGTGCAGCAATCGCGTGTTGTGCACGAGGATCACTTCGACCTGCTGACCCTTGAGATACTGAATCTAATGATCATTGACAAAGATCGTCGACACGATGCACAATAGTGCCAGCTAGAACGTCTCCAAAGCCTTTGTCGCTCGGGTAAGCTCTCGCAGCGACTCGGACGTGCTCAACACATGGCGCACGTCTTAAGAAATTCGAGACGCTTGGATGAAACTGCTTTTCTCATCAACTTTTTCTATTTGGTGGCGCAACTGAAGTCTTCACCCGGCTGCGTCGCTATTGACGCACGACTGAATGTGTGAAACTGCGCGAGACCAGCAATTTTGGCTTCTTGCCTGTCATCTACAGTAACGGCGCGCTGTTACTGTGGATCGCCTTCTTCGTGATACGCGGCGTTCGCGATTTTCTCTAGCAGCTTGCACACTCAGTCGATCTTCTTGTCTGCTTCCACGAGACGGCCAGGAAGGGTAATGATAAGCGCTGTGTTTTCGTCGTTGATCGACTCGGTCACTTCCATAACTTGTAATGGCTTTGATGCCATCTTGACCTTCGTGTGATGGTTCTCTATTATAAAGGTGGACTCGACCGATGTCTTCACAGTGTCAGGACGTTTCATATTCGCAGTGATGATCTGGCGACGCACGCCGTACTTCTTGTCGGCTATCACGTCCTTCAATTCAAAGGAGACCTCCATCGACTTGAAAGCATTGAATTCGGCTGCGATGTCATCCATTGGCATCACTTTCTGCTTTTTCAGAAGAGCAGTGAAATCGTTTCGCTACGACCTCGCTTCCGTCGCCACGAGAGAAACGTTTCTTGTAAAGCTTTTTTTCCCCATCTTGGTTGAAATATGAGAGGAACAGCATAGCTATCCAAAACCGTTCTTTGCTGATGAGACATAGTATGGATTTAACTTTGTTATCCTCCCTTCGGGGCTAATGCGATATCGCTTACTTCAATACAAGGTTAGCGAGCTCGAATTTAAGATGAGCTCCTCACCTCCCAATCCACCTCTTAAGAGAATATCATGTGGATGTCAGCCACGCTTTACAATTTGTATATAATATGTTATCATCGCGATCTTTCATAATATCTATTTTTTGTCGTTTGGTGCTGCAATCGTTGTAAGTAATTTGCACTAACCTATGTCCTTTTCAATGAGAGCGGTTGTAAGCTATGCTTACTGCTTTACTAAAGCTTCAACGCAAAACTCTTCCATGCTTTACCTAAATCGAGAGTGATTTCATGCATCTATTAACAGCCAAACCTCTTAGCGTTATGCTTGCAGTGATATCATGTATTTATCCGTCTGATAGGCTTCAATGTATTGATTGCCCCAGTGTGATGGCATCGGCGTTTCCCTATGATAGATATGGCATTAACAAGTACGCGAGAAAATTAACGGTTTGTAACCCAAAAATGTGCTGAAATAAGCGGCAAAGTCGCAAATACCATGATTCCGTGATCCATACATCGTGAAATCCTTTATCACGTCCATCAAGCGCCTAAGAATCGCTCAATTCACAAAAAGACAAAGTGGAATGGTGCAATATTTTCATAGTTTCGTGTTGGCTGATAAATTCATACAGAACCAAATTAAAATCAAATTATCGTACTTACTTATATTAGCCAATGTTTGGCCCGCATTAATCACGTTTTGGCCAGTGATATGGCCTAGATTTAGTTCAGTGGGTTTAGAGCAAAACGGAAAACATCAGTTTAGATACAAAGTTTAGGTTTAAACCCATTTTGATCAAGTCTAAGACCTCAGACCCGTGTACGGACGGACGAACAGCATGTGTTGATAGACTGATGAGATCTGCTAGTTTTGGCAGGTACCTTTATCTCACCTACCATGATCGATGGGGTCCCATCCTATTCTAGATCAACATATTGTAGCAGAATGTTCATGCAAAGCATTGTAAACATCTAATCGTCGTAGAGGCTCAACCATCTGGTTGAGATACCTTCAACTGTGTTTGTCTTATAGTAGACTATCCAGATCCCAGAAAATCTAGCAACTTCGTCATAACGTGGCCACTTAAAGTGACTTCAATGCACATGACGTTTCATCATCTAAACTAGCGTCATCGCTCGATTCAGCAAAACCTTATTAAAAAATTCGTGAAAACAAATTTCAATGTGGTCGTCATTTGGTAACAATCGCACAAACACAGTGTCACTTAGATCACTTCTAGGAACAATGATAGACATAAACCATACATCCACAAAGGCATCAAGTGATTGGAAGCAAGACCAATCGAATTGGGTAGTGGAAGAGCTTGTACCACGGATTCGATGATCTTACCATCCCTGTTTGATTTACTAAAGTTCTTTGCCGCAATGATGTGCGATCATGGTCTGCAAATCATAAAAAGAAATATGGGCGCACAGTGAACACTAAATCTGTGGATTTGAAGCCACAACCATGAAAGTGCATTATCCACTATGCTAATTTGAGCTCGTTTCATGCACGAAAAGCTGTAAATCGTATGCATGTAAAATGTTCTTCAACAGTATCGAACGGCGTCATCTCAACAGCGGCGCTAGCTCAGGAAACTGTTTTTGAATGGGCATATTGGGAATGAAGGTACACGTGGGTGTAACAATTAAGATCGCACCCCTGCTTGAAAATTATGCATAGGTACGGAAGGAGATACACACCTAACAGATCGGATAAGGAAACAAATCTCGGGAACAATAAGCATTTACAGTAGTTAAAATAAATAAAAGGGAAAGAAAGAAACTTGGAGGTGTAGTTTTTATTATCCTATAGATCCCACTTTTTTTTCTGCATAGATGTGGACAATGCCAGTCTTTTATCCTAATGGTTGCAGCACAGAAATTCTTTGATACAGATGTTGATCATATCAAGGAGTTATTTTTCCTATCCGATCTGTAGAATGGAGTGGACTACATACATCATGTCAATTTGGAAATCATTCATTTTTCATTCTGCTCGGTCAGTCTTACCAACTCATCCTACAACACTAAACCACTATGCGCAGACCATATTTTTCCTTCGTGCTGCATCTTCTTTACGCTGTGGTTCTACTCGTCGACGTCTTTGCAGAACTCTCCACCTCAAATCAAACTCTTCAGAGCAATGAACGGGATGCAAGCGATCGCCAACTAAGGGCGCAAGATTCACAAGAACAAAAGGAAGTGATTGGTGACGAAGAGAGGGTAGCGTTTCGTCAAGCTCTGTCTCCGCTCAGCGAAAATTTGCTTGAACTCCGCTTGTCGACCGTACCCATGAAAAAGATTTCACACCCACCTAAAGAACTTAGTTCTCGAGAAAAAGTCGCTTTATGGACTCGTATTTTGGGGTTCAAAGATAAAGATATTGATTATTTACAGTTGAAGCTTGAGCTTCCCCAGCTCAAGCAAGCAAGCGGATACGTCAATCATTTGGCCGAAATTTTGCGCGACAATCGACAAAAAGGTAGAATCGGATTGCTCGCTTTAGCTGAGAAAGTCTTGCTAGACCCCTATGGTTACAAGTTACGCATCTCATTAAAAACCGCTTTGTCGGACCCCATTGTGCGAGCAGCTACTTTCGTCGCTTCATCGCTACCAAAACGTCAAGGTGACATTGGCACTTTGCGAGATTGGATACCTTGCTTCATGGTATTTATCAAATCTGGATTCACTCTCGACGAGGTGGAAATAATACTGAAAACAGCTCGACTCGATGCGGATACCGTGGCAAAACTTTTGCTGTTATACGATCCAGTTAGGTATAACATGCGTCTTGAAGACGTAATGGATACAGTGACCAAATCCAGCACTCATTCTGCTGATTTGCGTACCATAATAGACGTCCGTGCTGCCGAATTCATTGCATACAGAGCACAAAAAGAAGCGGTGAAACTCAGTCTTGATCGAGGTCAAGACCTCGAAACATATCCATTACACGAATGGAAGATTCTACTGGAAAAGTGGGTCGAGCGTCACTACACTCAGGAACAAGTGAGTCAAATCCTTCAAACTGCTAAATTACACCCGGAAGGAGTGCAGTCGTTACTACGCGTCTATGCCAAAAGCCAAGAGCTTCACTTTCTGCCTTAAAAACGCGCCTCATTAGTCAAACGCCGTCGACTCGCAGCAATGAACTTTCCTTAATCAAGATGCTGGTCTGGGATGATTCACATTTCATTGCAGCTGATTCGACGAAGCCTTTTAACAACTTGACTAGTCTCAAACCTGCTCGTGACTAAGTAGATTCGACTCTTAGTTTTACGATGAAGAAACCTCATGTGTCATAAGATATTTTTAAACGCTTGTTTTAAGCACTTTTTGATTCACCAACTTTGCAGGTTCGTCTTGCCTCCTTAAGCAAAGGTTTAGATTTCTACACGCTAATATAGCTGTTCAGAATACAAACCATAAAAGTGTCTATGCCCTGTAAAATCACATGCTTGTAGCTGATAACAATTCATTAGAAAACTTATGCAGAAAACATCTGTGGTAGGCCGAGCCTTACAGAGGTTACTGTTCGCCTGGAGGCGTTCACGAGCAACACAAATGCGTTTGTGATACATTTCCAGAATTCATACATTTATGGAAAACCCACCGAGTTTAAAAGCTGAGACCACCGCTGAAGCTGGTAGTCAACAAATTGACGGGAATTGTGAAGCAAAGTATGTGAAAATACCTTGGACACCTAAACATCGTTGAGATCATTAACAGTACATGTGACACAGAAGATTTTGAATTTGCTGTTGCCACAAACTTTGTCAGATACGACTGACGTTGTTCCGCAATAGGTAGAGCGCTTGAATTGCTCAACAAAAGTTTGGTCCCTAAATATTTCATTTTTCAGTTGAAGCACTTTGTCGGATTTAGAGAAGTTTGTAAAAGAAGGTAACATGTAAAATGGGTACATTTTTAGGCCCATTGTTCGCACAACCGCTTGCTACGTCTGAGCCATTCATATTATAAATTAGGCTCTTTAGACTAGATCCTGATTTATCTAAAGCCTATCAGCGACTACCGTTGCTTTAGCAATCACTTACCGTATTGTGTCCGTAAAAATTGTGCCCGTAATTAAGACCAGGCACATACCGTATCCCTCTGACGTCGTTCGTCCGTTCAACCAGCATTCAGTGGTGTAATCTCAACAGTCCCTCCCACTCACCACTGATGCCGTGTGTACTTGGCACGTAGTCAACTTACAGTCCGAAGATGTTGAAGCCTCTTGATTCCACTTTTGTCGGGGAGGACAACCAAGGGGCAATTGTACTGGCAAATAACGCTGCCTACAACGCGCGGACGAAACATGTCGACATTTGCCACCACATCATTTGAGAAAATGTGGCTCAGGACTTTATTGTTATATCGGCATGTATTAGCACTAGCAGACATGATGGCAAAGCCTTTCTCAGGGATCATTGTCATGATTGGGGATGCGCCTGTGATATTAAAGTCCAAATATCAGCGACCCGTGGGAAATAAACTCAGCAGATTCTGAGTATATAACGTCTTAGACACCCAGTTCGCGACTAGTATGGCTTACAGCGCATCTCATGTCGCAAACCGTAAGGTCTTCCCTTCTTGCTCAACGTCGAGACGTCGTTGTACATAAAAAATTATTTTACATGGACGTTATGGATATATGATCATACAGTAAGAGACTAAATCGAACTTCGTCCTGACTTCTGTGAAATACTAAAAGACACAAATTTGCGCAGGCTTGGGTGTATGATGATGCTGATCCTACAAATGCAAACTTGTTGACAAAACGCAAACCTTTTTAATGCAATGCGTAAAGCGTCTAATAAACCATGAGTATTTGCGCTCTCTCTATTCTTGAGGAAGTGTAGACACCAACAGTGTATCGGACAGGAGTCCCGAGCGTGGCTCACGGGCTGATCGTGGAGTGACACGTAACCCACTGATCGCTGCTCAAATTTCGGAGCAGTCGCTGCATGTCATACGTAACACTCACCCAATTCGCGACCAGTATGGCTTAAAGCGCATCTCATGTCGCCAGCGTCCGTCGGCGGGGACTGCATCTTTGACAGCTTTAAGTCTGATTTGCTTTGATTCTTGACGGGCCTGGAGTTTTGCTGGTTAAATTGCTCAACAAAATTGTTGATAACGAGTCTGCTTTGACCATACGGGTACTCTTCGTCTAATCATAATCAATCTTCATCCCCATAATAAAATTGAGTTTGCCAAGCGCTTTCATCTTAAAAGCCTTCTTAAGCTTCAGCTTGACTTCTTGAATCCCTTCGCTGCAATAATCATGTCATCGACGTATGAACAGATGTAAATAGACCTGCAGTTGTCTTTTTGACACATATAGACTGATCAGAACCACAACTCCTGAAACCGATATTGTTCCATGCGCAGGCCGCTTGGTCAAGGTTATAGATTACCTTGTTGAATTAACATACGCAGCTCTTGCTGACACGTTCTTTAAGATCACTGTTCAGAAAGGTGTTAGCCGCTTTGTTACAAAGCCTTTATCTACATTAAAGGCTAGCACCATGAGAAATACATTCATGTGGGCCACTGGAGAGTACGTACTTAAGAAATCAATTTCAAACTTTGGCTTGAATCCCTTTGCTACAATACATGTTACGCAGTATTTGGTTCCCGGAACCAGGTCGATCTCATGACGCACACCTCGGTCCGGAGGTAGGACCGAAGCCGGGTCTTTGGAGACGACGTCTTGAGATTCCTTCACCATAGGATAGTACGGATCCAAGTGATTCCGTAGGATCGACGATCCACATCGTGGGTTCAGCACTCTCTTGGTGTCCTCCAAGAAAGCTTCATCCAGAAGCGATGACGAATTTATCTCCTCGTCCGGTCGGACAATGAGCACTTCGGCCAAATCGCTTGCCTTCAAGACACTGCCGAACGATTCAAGGGACATCTCGTCCAGCTCAAGAAAAA